GAGTGAGGGTGGAGGGTGGGGTGGGAACTGGGTGGAGGGGAGTTATGGTGGGAAAAAAGAGGAACCAATGTAATAATCTGAACAATAAAGATTTAATTTAAAAAAAAAGAAAAGAAAAGAAACTTCTGACACGGTCCCAGGTACCCAAAGCAGAATCAAAATAGGACCTGCGGAGCCCTGTGACCCCAGGCTCCAGTGCCTCGGTGTAGGAGCCTGAGTGACATTCACTGTTGAGGGTGGCGATGGCCATGAGCTGCAAGCTAATCGCCAGTGGAGCCTTTCCCGCTGGGCAAGCCCGTATAAAGGGCTCACCGCAGGCCGGTCTGTACGCCCTGAAAACCTGTCTGACGGAATCGCCTACTGGGCAGCACACTGTGGGAGACAGAACTCCAGGCAGGAAGTGCAGTGCTTCTTTGGGAGGAGACCTAAAGAGCCACAGATCTTGATGATGATTAAAAAGCTGGCCTTCCAATCATGTAACTAACAGCTGAATTCTGACATACAACTTAACTTCTGGGTGAATTTTTCAAGTTTTAAAATGACTAAATGATGACATTTGAACACTGGCTCTAATGGAAGGGAATTCAATGTATCATAAAAACTGTCGAGGGTACTAGGCTGTGGAGCTAAAAGATATTTTTAGGAAATAATTTTACAGAATTTTGAGAATTGCAATTTCTGTATCATCATGCCTCAGTTATAAGGCACATGAACTTTTGCTGCACGACTTTTGGGACAACACCAATTAATTGTATGTGTAAGATTCTCAACACAGTTTTCCTAGTCCTGAGGACTGCAGCCTCAGAGAGATGTGGGGTATGTTTGTGTGCCTTCAATAGACACCCTCAAAAACAAATATATAAAAGTAATTCTTTAAAATAGAAGTCTAGATATTTAAACTACTAATACCAACCAGCTAGTTATCCGGAAGGAAACAAAACAAGCATTGGGGGAGTGTCAGGATCTTGGGCGTGACAGGGATATTCTGCTGGCCAAGCAAATGGTCAGGAGTGCCCTGGGCTCTTCTAGTCAGACAGTGTAAGGATATTCCCTGCCCTAAACTGATCAATAAATACGTGTTACAGTCCAGAGACCGCACACAAGAGGGTTATTGGGGGAAACAATATCTGGCATCGACTGTTGTTTCTAAATACTGGGAGGACAGAACTCTATTTCCAGCAGACAGGAAAAACCACGCTCTACTGGGCTGCAAGGATCACTACAAACCTGTGCCCATGAGCTGGAAAATTGTTTCTATCACCCGGAGAGGCAACACAGCCATCTTTGATACTTTACCTGGCAAAAGAGAGGTGCTGAGCCTCTTAATTGCAACTGTGACATAACTGAAGTAGATTAAAGCTGATAGGTGGTAATTATCAGGTGGTTCTGTTTAAAAAACTCCCTGGAAGCAAACACCTTAGTCCAGGAGGTGGTGACGGCATTTTCTCTAAAGGAAACACACGCTTCCAGGACAGTCAGGAGTGGTCTGACGTCACTGACGTCACTCTCCTTCATCTGATAAACCAAGCACACATCAGGTTTAGCAAAGCTAAAACCTACTTTACCTGCATTACTGATTGACAGAAATAATCTAGTTTGTTGTTAATTATAATCAGAAGTGAATATATCCTGTGTATGCTTTTTGCTGTTAAGTGAAAGTATGATGCCGAAAGTTGCCCAAAACTTAGGGCAAATTCTGTTTCATCAGCTTTGAAAGTTTCAAAAATGTCTTTTCCAGGAAAGCAGGTTATCATGGCTACGATTTCAATTATAAGCTTGTCTGAAAGCTTCCTATAAACAATTAGGCCTCTTGGAGCAACACATTTTAGAGCATTTCTTACATTTGAATCTTAAAGATTCTTCCATGTACAAATTATTCACATTTACTGGCATTTGATGAGTAGTAAGAGAATAGCAACCAGAGTGTGGGAGGGTAGTAATATTAGATTGATTAAGATGAGAAATAAAATGGGACATAAATCTAGTAGAAATTAATAAAAGCTTTCTATTCAAAGAGTCACAAGCATGAGTTCTTATTTTAACATGCAAAAACAATTCTAGTTAATTATGCCCAAATTTTCTGAAAACAGTAAAACAGGATTTGGATTGCAGAAGAGAGAACATCAGAGAAAACCAAACAACTGTACAGAAAAATACAAACCACGAACCCGAACACCAGTGGCCCTGCTTCAACATGCCCCACAACCTCTCCAGCTGTCCCCGTAGCGCCTCCTCCCGCCCCTCAAAGGTTATGTGAAAATTTCATTCTCTCCTGAAGCCTGTTCTCCACCTTCTTCCCACCAACTCTTAATAGATGAACTGGCTTCTAAGCAGAACGGTGATGCCATCTAGAATGAACTCCTTCAATATTCTGCCCAGCAAAGGTATCTGCCTCCATGCCCATCGACACAGCCTTCTCTCCTATCTCCTTTTGTGCAAGGCAAATACTCTACTTGGGTTCAGGACCCCATCCCTTCCTCCTTTGTATGGATTTCCCTCTTCTTCAAATGTGTACCCCCGGGTCCTAACTTCAACCTTCTTTTCACTCTATTCTTGCATGACTATGAGTAGCTACTTAAACTTGAATTAATTAAAATGAAATAAAAAATCCAGTTCCTTAGCTGCACTAGCTTCATGTGGCCAGTGGCTACTGTACCGGACAGTGCAGATAAAAACATTTTCATTATCATAAAAAGCTCCGTTTGGACAGTGCTGTTCTATACACTCTATACTCCTTGGGTGACCTCTCATTCATTCCAAGGCTTCAAACTATGTACTCCTGACATTAATATATACCTCTGTTAAGAGATTCTAAATATTCTTTAAAGTAATATACCAGTGGTTCTCAATGGGAACCTGCATATTAGAATTTATAACAATTATAAATGCTGGGCCCTGGTCCAGGTTAATTAAATCAGAAATTCGAGGAGGGGGGTAAGGGTACATTAGATCATGTTAGGATGCATTTTTTAAAAAACTGAAGGTATTTTCTTTTATTAGTATGTAAAAGCTCAACTAAAGTAATTGGTCTTAATGAAAATTCTCCATATAAATTTCCTATATAGCAGTGCCACAAAACCCCTCTCAGAACACATCTATACTAATAAAAACGTAATATGCTAATTAGACCAGTGAAACAGCCATCTTCTGGATGTCCAACTTCCTTCCTGACATAGCCATGGTGGTGGGGGCCGAGGCAAAGGCAGTTAGGGGCAAGATCAGGCTGGCAGGGGGATAGGGGTGATCAGGCCGGCAGGGGAGGGCAGTTGGAGGCATTAGGCAGGCAGGCGAGTGGTTAGGAGCCAGTGGTCCTGGATTTCGAGAGGGATCCCAGATTGGAGAGTGTGCAGGCCGGGCTGAGGGACACTGCCCCCCCACACACACAAGAATTTCATGCACCGGGCCTCTAGTTTAGATCATAAACAAGAAGCCAAATTTCTTACCTTTGTGATAAAATGTGAGAAAAAGTAAAAGCACTCCCATGAACATATTACTTAAAAAAGTGACAACTCCACAAGTAATTCCTTCTGGAACTGGGTAGACAGTTTCCACAAACAGCTCGAAAAATATAGGTATACTGCTATTCAAGAACACTCCCAGGAGAATACAGGAGGCATACAACGTCACTGAAATAAAAACACAAACAGGTCAGTTTCCCGGTGGCAGCGTGAGTCCCAGCAGGTAGGTCTTCTGGGTCTTCTCTCTTATAAGTATTGACTCTGCAGTTTCATCTCTTTTCAATGCAGCTGATAATGTTTGACAAGGCATCATATATCCGTCAGCTCTTTGCTCCGGTGGGCAGATAGGGAGAAGTTTTGTTGCTAGATGCTTAGCAGTTTAATTGTTTTATCTTTTTGGTGGCTTATTCCAAAGCACAAAAACAATTTTACCATTGTAATATAATTAAAAGGATTCTTCCTCCTTAGTCATACACTCCTGGCACATAGAGAGATAGATAAAATATAGCAACTAAATTTGAAATCTAGACTCATTCTATCATTTTAAAGAGAACTTAACATCTAAGAATAAGTATAAGAAACATTAAGTATTACTGAAAGTTACATCTTTAAAGAGACTGGTAAAAAACAACCCTCCTGGTACAAAATAAAAATTATTCAGTATGTAATTCCAGAAGAAACACTTAAAATAGAATTAGTCCTCAATTTTGGAATGAGTTTTGTGTCAACTGTTGTTTTAAAATTTGTAACTTTTTGGAACACAAAAAAATTTCATCTAGAAATGCATAATAAATAGTAATTAGAGTCCTGGCCAATGAATGTTGGCCCGTGACTGAAGGGTTGTGGGTTCGATTCCCGGTCAAGGGCACATACCTAGGTTGTAGGTTTGATCCCCAGCCCTGGTTGGGGCACATACAGGAAACAACTAAACAATGTGTCTCTCTCACATTGATGCTTCTCTCTCCTCTCTCTTCTCTCTTCTCTCTCTCTCTCTCTCTCTCTCTCTCTCCTCCTTTCTTTTCCTCCCTTCCTTCTACTCTCTCTAAAAATCAATGTGAGGATTAACAACAACAAAAAATAGTAGTTAGAACCCTAGATTAGTCAATAAAAAGCCTATTAACCCTGTTCTGTAGTAAAATTTTTGAATAAGGACATTATTCTTTTTCTTAGAATAAAGTTTAGAGACATGCACCCCACTCCAAATAATTATATCATTTGCTACATACAAACTGCTTACATACAAACCTTCACCAATTTTAATTTGAAGGTAAAAATGGAACCAGTGAGGAAAAAATGATATCCTATTTAGAAATCTAAAACATGTTTCCTATAGACTAATAAGTATATCATACCCACTAGTGATAATGCATAGAACTTATTCTAAGGTTAAGGTTACCAGGAAAATATTTTTAATAAAAATATTTGTTAAGAAAAGAAATTTCTGTACAGAAAGTGAAGGAGTGATCCTAAATCTGTTAATGTATTATTCATAGAGCATAGCAAATTACCACAATTTATCATACTGATTACAATAATTAACAGTCTAAGACATTGTTGAAGGGGTAAAAAAATAATATCCACTGTTTTCTAATAAAATTTCTCCAATTAACCTCAACTCCCACTTCCTCTTCCAATTATACTGGCCTTTCAGGGTTATAAAATATTTAGTTCCTTCTAATAACATAAATAGCTGGTGACTACTTTGACTTTCTTTGCATAGACGACACATGAAAATAGAGAACAAAAGGATGACAGTGAATAAAGAACATGCTACTGGCTAAAGCAGTGACCAAATTACCCACAAAATTAAATGGGAAGCATCTAATAGTTACAATAAATACCATTTAAATCATGAAGTAATTGTCAAGAGATTCCTGGAAACAACAAAACCTAACACTACATGCTCGCTGTATATTTACTAGACATAGATCATGTAATTCAATCACCAATTCTACCTAACACATGACTCACTAGTGACCCATTAGGAAATCCAGGGATGGAATATCACTGGTAGCTTTTATAAAGTATTCTATCTATAAAACATTTTATAATAATTTATTGGGCAGTTAATGGTAATCAGAGCAGATTTGGCTATTGACCCAAACACAGACAGGCCTAGGAGTGTAAAACAAGACAACACTTAAATAAGTGACAGGAAAAAGCAAACCCTTAAGAACTAGAAAGTGCTACTGCTAAGAATTCATAAACCTATGACAGACTTACTATTCTTTAGAAAATATGTTTGGAAATAATCCTTTTGACATTTGTATTTCTGAAGGATGTATACCCTCACATGTAATGTATAATCAGGCAAATTCAAATGTAATACCTACAAAATAATCATAATCTCTGTATAATAGAATAATTGCATGTTGTTAAAAAAAGAAAGATAATGTAATGACGAGGACATACTGATAAGGGACCATCTATGGGTATGGAGTCTTGAAAAGAGATATCTGAGTTTGCTGATTTTTATCAATCATGATACAAAAAAGAGAGGGAGGGAGGGAAGAAAAGAGATAGAGAGAGAGAAAGAAACTTGGGATATCTCGGAGAAGGAGAGCCTGGTCACGCAGGGGAAGAGCCCTGTCTGAAAACCTCTCATGGCCATGCAGCTCCCGTGGCTTCAGTTTATACTCATTATAAATCTTCCAGTTTTAGTTTCTTAGGTATCTAAACTGTGGGAAGGGAAGAGGAAATCTTGGTCATTGGAAAAATAAAATTTTTATTGTTGATGGAGCTGTAAATAATTCATCTTCTGGTGGGTAATTGAAAATGTCTATCAAAATAAATAATGCACACTGTTTGACCCAGCAATTCCAGATCTAGGAATTTATCCTGCAAGTCCAAGTATATAAAGCAGACTCACTGAAATATTGTTTGTAGCATGAAAATATTACAACCAAGCTAAATGTCTATCAATAGGAGGTTGGTCATTAAAAAATTTATCAAACATCCAACAAAGATACATTACACAATCATTAAAAATGAATTAACTTTATATGTACTGGTATTAAGGACATCTAAGATATGTAAATAAAAAAGGTACAAGTGTTATATTTTTAAAAAGGATACACACACATTTGCAAATGTATAGAATTCTCTGGGCAAATACCCAAGAAACTGACATTCAGGGTTGCCTCTAGAGAGGGAAATTGGGGGCACAGGAAAGTAGACATTTTTCATTGTATACCCTTTATCTATCATTTGAATTTGAGTGGTTTTTTTTTTTTAACTATGTGTATATCTTGCCTATTTGACAAAATAAAAAGGGAAATTTCATTGGTAATAAAATAGTGAATTGGTAGCTCATCCAACTCCCCTTCATGCAAAATTGTTAGCTCACTGACTCATCAATGATGTCTGCACCTGCGAGCCACATAACCCAGTCTTGTTGCAGGAGCCTTGACATAAACATTCCCATTTTATTTACTAGAATTCCTGTTATACACAGGAAAAATGTGCTGTGATGAATAATATATTACTTCAGAGGCCAGTAATAAAAAAGTGAGTATTTTCATTCAACTCTCTTACTCTTGATGTTTGCTTCGTATCTCTATATATAGAAGGCTAATATGCTAAGTGTCCAACTGTACGACCGGTAGCTATGATGCGCACTGACCACCAGGGGACAGATGCTCAATGCAGGAGCTGCAGAGCTGCAGTGACTTGGCAGCAGCAGTTCTCGGGTGACGCATCCCGAAACCAGAGAGGAGGGATCCCGATTCCTCATGGGGCCATGTGATTCCACGTTTGGCTGTGGGTTATGTTGTTGCTGGGGCACTGTTGGCCCTGAATCTGGTTTACTGCACACTTGTGTTTGCATTCCACACCCTGCACAACAGCAACTTTGCAGAGTGCCCTCTTGCACCCTGGGACCCCTCAGGGGATATCGGAGTTTCAGCCTGATCCCCATAGGCCAGGCCAAGGGACCCTACATGCCAGAGGGACCCTGCTCACTATGCAGACACCCTTCGAGCCACGGCGCCACCCCAGGTGCAGCCAGCCGGGGAGGGACCACGGGAGGTTGGCTCCAGGGCGTTTCCGGCCTGTCTCGCCCAGTCCCTCCCCGCTGGCCATCTTCTAATTAATTTCCTTTCAATGTGCACAAATCCGTGCACCGGGTCACTAGTCTATATACATAAAAGGCTAATATGCTAAGTGTCTGACTGGTGCTGCCGTGATGTGCACAGAGAAATGGCACCGTGGATGTGGTGCCCACAAAGCAACACTTGGCTTCTCCCAAGTGGGACACAGGCCCTGCTACCACCCTGGAATGACATCCACCCCACCAAATTGCAACTGACGCTGCCGGGACCCCATGGTGTAAAATGCGGCCCCAAAACGGTGGCTGTGGGCACCAGGTAATGATGTCACGTAGCAACGCCTGGCTTCCTCTCCCTAGCGACTATCCTCCTTGCAGTTTCTTCAGCCCAGGAAGATGACTTGCTTTATAGCCAGGTGGAAATATTTCACAATTTAATCAAATGTCTGTGAAGTGTTTTCCCATGCCTCATCTCATTTGATCCTCACAGAAGTCCTGGAGTAGGTAGATAGGAGACTCAGTGGAGTCCTATTTTCTTTTAATTAGCTGGAAAACAGAGATTTAGGAAGTTTAAAAACTTGACCCGACTGAAAAGAAGTAAGAAATGGTGGACCTTGAAAATGACGTCAGGTTTTCTCACTGCACAGAATAGAGTCAAACACTGCTGCAGTTAAATATTTTACCCTTTGTTCTCCCTGCATGATCTACAATAACAATCTGCTTCATGTTGATATTTCCTGCTGTGTTGCTGACAATTACCTGAAAGAGAAGTTGGGGTGCTTCACTGGGCTGGAGAAAGTTTAGCTAAATCAGAAAGCAGGTCTAATTAAGCATTATCTATATATATGTAAAGCTCTTGCTGGCGCCAATCACATGCGTGTGTTTCGATCTGTCACTGTTGATCGTGATTTTGGTTAACACTTCTATTATAGAGAAAGGGCAAACAGCAATATTAAAATATTTCTTCTAATTAATTTCCTTTCAATGTGCACAAATTCGTGCACTGGGCCACTAGTATTACTATAAAAATGATGAGCAAGCCCTAGCCAGTTTGGCTCAGTAGATAGAGTGTCGGCCCGAGGACTGAAGGGTCCTGGGATCGATTCCAGTCAAGGGTACATAA